AGTTAGAAACATTAGTGAGAGAGAAACATCGATCAGCTGCCTCCTGCACTCCCCCAACTGGGGATGTGCCGGCAACCAAGGTATATGCCCTTGACCAGAATCGAACCTGGGACCCTTGAGTCCGCAGGCCGACGCTCTATCCACTGAGCCAAACGGATTAGGGCTCTTCCACTTACCTTTACACTTTTTTTTTTAATAATGGAGGAGATGCATCTGTTATAATATTTTTATTTCTATGCAACCCTCAAAAACACTTATTTTTTCTTCTTTTGATAGGAGACATTTTCACGGGCTCCAAAGTCAAAAGAACATATAAAGTCTCACCTCAAACTTGAACACCATCTTGTCCACTCGCCTCTCAACCCTAACCACTTTTATTAATTTCTGGTGTCTTCTGCACATTGCTTTTTTCACCTAAAATATCATGGAGACCTTTCCATATTAGTGTACTGTTGCAATTAGCTACTTATTAGTGATAGAAAAGGAGAAAAGGGGGAACTTAAACATTATAGGCATGTCATTTGGGCAGCTTTACCAGGAGGCTGTATCTTTGCACTACCTGGGGAACCACTGGCCTATTCTCTGAAAGAGAGCGGAGGGAAGGGGACTGGACAAAGGAAAGGCAAAAGCATGCCCAGTAAAGTTGTGGTAACATAGGGAAGGCACTTTCTTGTCAATCACACCTGGGAACAGAGATCATTGGCCAGAATGGGCATGTCCACTGCAAGGGCCAGAAAATTTGGGAATACGTAATCTCCTAAACAAAGGGGTTCACTCTTGGTTGCTCTCAGCTCATGGGGCTCCCTCATTCCTGCTTCCTTGCATTCGCATGGACCATATGGACCCCCCACATAATGGACTGATGGAAGGCAGCAGGAAGCACAAGCTAAGCTGGCCTGATGCTGGACTGGACCCAGCTCCAACGTGGAAAGGAAACTCTGGACACTTGACTCTGTTGAAGCCCCAGCTACACTTCTTCTTCTATGACTAGACTAAGTGGAATGGGACTTTGGAAATCCAGGATGTAATCCATGGAAATAAAGCTTCCTACTGTATCTCACCCTCTGAGGCATGTTCCTATGCCTCTCTATATTCAATGTCCTCTGTGTTCCCAGGTACTTATTTTTATTTTTTCATTGGGGCAATTACACTTAACATGAGATCTACTCTCTCAACAAATTATAAGTGCACAATACAGTACAGTACAATACAGTAATTATAAGCACAGTGTTGTATAGCAGGTCTCTAGAACTTATTCATATTGCATAACTGAAATTTTATAATAGCATTATATCAACATAGATGTTATGAAAAGTTTTCTGCAAAGTAAAATTCATAGTGGCCTGACTCCCCCTTCCTTCAAGGGAGCATAAAACTCAGGATTTGGTATTCTCTTGCTAATAATACCTAGAAGATAGTACTTTATTTTAGCACAAGAGAACTGTACTGTTCCAATGTTCCTAAACTTGACTCAATTACATAAGAGCTAAAGAACATTCTAAATTTGACATATTTGTTTCTTTAGCCATATATATATATATATATATATATATATATATATATATATTCCCTTTAACTTTGAGTAATTGGAAATGTGATGTTTCACCATTTGAATAGAGCAAAGTGGTTAACATTAACAGTAGAGGCTTCAGAGTCAACTAGATATAGATTCCAATCCCAACTCATTTGCAACAAAATAGCTTTGTGATCTTGGGTAATTTCCCCATAATTTGAGGATATAGAATTAAGGTCAATAGGTTTTGAAGAGGATCAACAGAAAATGTATATAAATCACATAGTAGTTTAAATGATAGCTATCATTATCATCATTATTAGTATATGCATCTATTCAGTGGTAGGTTCTGTACTAGATTTTGAGGAACAACAATGTACTAGTGTATGTCACCATCCTTGCTCTCAGAGCTCTCAGTGCCGAGGGAAAGGCATACCAACAAACAAAGACCAACTTTAACTTTAACCTATAACAAAGCTGCATACTAATAAATGAAAGGCTGTCTCTAGGGAAGAAAAAAGTCCTGGAGATACATTTTACATAGCAATTATCTTGAAGAGTTAAAAAGTTCAAGACAGTCTCCACTGGATGAGACACCGTATATATCAACTTCAGTTTTAATTTGTCAAAGAATATATAGAAATACGCAACACTACCGCAAGGCAGTAGTTATTTTAACTTGGGGGTGTGTGGATTTGGAAGGCTCTTGGATCTGACAGTACCTTTGGTCTCAATTTCCTCTTGATAATGTAGACCGGTATAAGGGTGGAAGGGGTGAGGGGAATCCTCTGACATGGTTTGCTTCTCCTGATTATCAACTATTTTCCCCCATAAAAGCAAAATATGAAAAGTGGCAGGGAAATGGTGATTTCTATGCCTCCCTTTTTGTATAACGAATAACAAATGTGAGTTTGGTTTTACAACAATAAAACACACACACACACACTGAGAAAACTGCACTTTTTCAAGAGGAATGAGAAGTGAATGCTTCTGGAAGCAGGTCCGTAAGTCCACAGGCATTTTACTTTGTTGAAGGTGTCTGGATGTCAAACATATCATACCTATGCTTAGCACTGCTGCTTACACATTCTGTGAGCCAAAAACTCAAAGCAGACTCTGCCATGGCTGGCCCATGACTTTCCACAAGAGTTCCAGAACTATAAGACACCTTTTAGGTATTAACTGTGTAAATTACCTATCTTTACTTACTTTAAAGAAAGGCATTAGTAGCAGCCAGTGGCCTGCACCTCAGCAGCAATCAGGAAATAAATTCCAAGCCAAAACCTTTCTGTAGAGGAATTAGCTCTGAATTGAGTTGTCTTTTGACTGCAGTTCTGCAATTCTTGTGTAATAGTCTGCCACATATTTTACTGTTAATTCATAGGTGTATGTCATCAGAAATCCTAAATTAGATGTTTTTTTGTTGCAAATGGTGTGTTATAATGTTTATTGCCACTTCGCTTCAGTATCGGTAACAGTTACTAATTAATTAGGAATAAGGATGAGAATTGGAAGCAGTATCAAACCTTGTGGCAAGCGGGCAACTTACGGATTTATATCAAGTTCTAAAACACAGAACATTCTCTACTTGAAACGCTGCTGCCAAAAGTCAGTATCTGAGATACGTCTTGGGATATTAAACATAGAGTAGCTCCTGGCAAACTAACATCCACAGACATTTTAAATGCGTCTTAATCCATTAGCATCTCACCACCAAATTCATTGTTCACTTCATGCAGGCTCCACGGGTTTAGCTTCAAATTCTCTCCTTTACTGCATCAGAAGGAAAGCCTGGGCATTGGGTCTGCGCACTCCAACTCCCTACGCGCGCGGGTTCTGAGAGCCTTGTGCACCAATGCAAATTAGTGGGGGCTGTTGCCAGAGGTTCCCTAATCCTGGAGCGACCCATCACCCCCTAAAAGCCCACAGTCAGCTCGCACTGAATCCAAGGCAAGTTCACCCCTAATATTCAAATGTCTGCCCTGTAGCTACTGGTCCACAGGTCCTTGGCGCGGCAGCGCTCGCCTTCGAATGCTCGGGAGAGATTTCTGAGCCGAGAGTCGCGCTGCTAGAGCTCCCATCAACACAAGTTTCGTTCTTTGAGCCAGATCATCTTTTGGTTCCACGTTTGCGGGTTGGCTGCTCCGGGTTCGGCGGTTCCCCACCGTCTTCCAAATTGAAGCGGACTCACCGAGCGGATCAAGCGCCCCGGGTTCCTGAGAGCTACCTGGATGGAGACGGTGACGGAGCGCCGCGCCCCGCGCCACAGGGACGGACACCCGCGCTCCCTCCACGCCGCGCAACTGCGCGTCTTCTCCCGGCAGGTCCCAGGCTGTGGCGACCCGCGAAGCGCCCGAGAGCAAAAACCCACAGCGATCCGCAGCCTGGCGAGCACTTGGGAGGGAAGAGCAACGCTCTGCTGGTTAAATGTCAGGAAGCGACCGCGCAGACCAGGAGGGCAGACCGCGGTCAGAAACCAGAGGGCAAAAGTTTACTTTCCTGAGCAAGTCCAGCAGCCGCAGCAGCCCCGAGCGGGGAAGCGAACTCCGCCCGCGAAGCTTCTTCCAGGGGAGTTGTGAGTGGCCCGGACCGCTTCTGAGAGCGAGGTCTCTGCGGTTTGGGGCGCGCCAGCGGTGCAGTACCCAGGGATCCCTCCTACCAGTCGAAGGAAGAGAACGAAGTCGGGAGCAGAGTCCGCCAGAGACTTGGGCGGCTATTCCGGGAGCAAAACCTTGGAAATGGCTGCTAAAGGGGCTGGGTCTCCAGACTCTTCACCCCGCCCCTTTCTCCAATCGAATCCTTCACCTGCTACCATCCAGTTTACAGTATACGCGTAGACCCTAAATGAGACCGGCTCCAGAAGCGAGGGGTCACGCTTCCCTACGGTCCCTTTCGCCATCTGCGCGACCTCAGGAGCTCCGCGGGGAGATGCTTCGCGACGAGCTGGCAGGAAAGGCGGGATGAGAGGGGCTTGTGTCCAGGGTACGAAGTGTAGGCTCCCCTATTCGAAGGACCTCGGGGAGCCCCCTTGGAACTCCCCGGCTCTTGGCAATGAGCCACTTCCCAGGTAGGCAAGAGGAGGGGCGAGAAAGTGGCTTTGGGGGGGCGGGATGGGGACCGGGTTCTCCTTTAGTCTGGCGACCTCACTCCGGGTAACGGGGCTCCAGGAAACAGCCTGAAGCCCAGAAGCCGGAGGGGGCGGCGCCCCCGTAGGTGGCCGAACCGGGCTGCGGCGCGCCACCGCCTCCGGCTGCCTTCGGCTCACTCGTGAGGAGTGGCCGCGTCCTCCCGTCCTCTGCGTCCGGGGAGCCCCCGCCCCGCCTCGCGTCTCCCGACTTCTCGCTCGCCCGTGGCCTGGGGCGGCGGGCGCGGGGCTGGGCGTGCGTGCGGGGCTGCGCGCGCCTGCGTGTGTGCGCGCGTGTGTGTGCGTGTGTGCGCGCGAGTGTGTGCGTGTGTGCGCGCGAGTGTGTGCGTGTGTGCGCAACCCGCGCGCGGAGCCCGGCCGCCGGGACCCAGCCGCCCGCCTCCCGCCGCCGCCTGCCTGGTGTCCCTCGTCCTCGCAGCCGCCCGCCGCCTCGCAGCCTCCTTACCTGGCGCTCCTCGCCCTGCGCCCGCGCCCGCCCTGCCCCGCTCGGCCGCCCCGGCGTCGGCTCAAAGTTTCCTCCGCGCAGGCAGCTTGGCGCAGGGCTGCCCAGGGAGACGGGCTTCTGAAGCTGCGCCTCGGAGTGGCTCTTCTTCCAGCGCCTCTCCGCCTCGTCCGCACCTAATCCGAACGGGGAGTAGATGTTCTATGCGAAGGGGAGGAAAGGGGGGTAATATCGAGAACAAGAGAGAGGAGCGGCCACCACTGAGCCCACCCGCTCCTTTCCTGCCCGATGCCCTGGAATTGACGGAGGATGGGCCTGTGGGGTTCAAGAAGAGAATGACAGAGAAAAAGCCAAGTTGACGCGGAGGGGTTGGATGCCAGCAAGGGTGTCCCCGTCTCCGTTTCCACGGGCGTGAAGACTTGCAGGCGCCTCCGGCGCGAGAGCTTTAGACCGCCACCCCTTCCCGCTCCCCTCGGAAGGAGACGCCGGCCGAGCCCAGGGAGAGGGAGTCGTGGAAAAGCCGCTGGACCTGCGTGCGTGGCCGCCTCGGCTGTGGATTTTAAGGACGGGAAAGAGAAGTAACGGCGTCTCAAGGTAAGAGGCAGCAACGCCGCTGCCGAAATTGACAGGAAGAAGAACTTAAATGTTGGGGAGGGGACGGCGGGGGGCTTAAACCAAGTTAGGATGATGTCTCCGGGCGTCGCCAAGCGTGTCTCAGGGCGGGCAAGTCAGAGAGAAGCAGATGCAGCCAGTGCCCAGGGGCGAGGCAGCAACCCCGAGGCAGTGCCCTGTCCTTACACTTTTTGGGGAAGCGATTGGAAAGAGGTATCCAGCTGGGTCGTCAGTCCAGGCTGATTCACGGCGTGCATTTGCGTGTGTGTTCTTCCTGCCAGCTTCCCACTCCCCCCCCCCCCCCAATTTGGCACCGCAGACGCACGCCCTCGTGGCCTGTGGCGCTGTGGGCACTGCCAGCACCTCTAGGACAAGGGGCAGGTGAGCCTGGCGCAGGTAGGCAGGTGGGGGCGGCGGCGGCGCTCGGCCGGTGGACTGGGCGTGCGCGGAGCCCACGCCGCCGCCTGGCTGGCTCCACGCGCCGGCGTCGGAACCGGGGCGCCGCAGGTCTGTTGCGGTTCCTCTCGCCTCCGCTAGAGGCTCCCAGCGGGCGCGGCGGAGCGGTGGGTGTGGGGGCGCCGGGAGGCGGAGGGCGAGCGCGGGGAGCCGGCGTGCCCGCGGGGTGGCGGAGCGGGCGCGGCGGAGGGAGGCGAGACCGGCTGGGGCGGGGGACGCGAGTCGGGTCCGGGCGCGCCTTCTGGCTGCGCGCAGAGCTGCGGGGACCCGGGTCCGAGTGCGGGCTGAGCTCGGAAAAGCTGTGCCCTGAGCCGGAGCCAGTTCGGGGACAGGATCCTGAGGGCAATCCCAGGAGGTAAATATCCTTCTTCTCCAGTCCCCCCTCTTCCTAAGCCCCCGCCCCTCCTCGGTGGCGATCTGGAGATTCGCAGCCAGTTCCCCAAGGTGGGCAGCCGTGGAGCGTGCAGGTCTGGGGGGTCCCTGTGTAAAGGTGCCTTTCAGACTTGCTCCGTGCAATGTATGTTCAAACTACCCCCCTTATTGTGCCTGACTCCCTGAATATCTGCCTGCGTTAAGGGAAGTTTTCTGCAGAGAGTGCCTGCTGGCTGGTCTTTGGGCCAGGCTGCTCGAAGGTGAGCAAGGGGGCCCGGTGTGCTACCCTGAGCCGCAGTGGGCTGGAGTGCGCGACTCCAGGGGTGGGGTGTGGTGGAGGAAGAGTACCACACCCTCTTCTTTTTCTCCCTTCCTTTCCACCTGAGGGTGAAGTCTCATCACCTAGTATTGTGCTGATTTCCTTTCCCAAGGGACTGGCTCTGAGAATAGAGCAAAGCTGCTAAAAGACTTGGAGAGAGAGAGAAAGATGAGAAGGAAGTCATTGCCAGAACGTCAGGCCAGGAAGGAGGGTGAAGTTAAACCTGTGTGTGTGTGTGTGTGTGTGTGTGTGTGTGTACGTGTGCGCGTGTGCGCGAGGGTGGGGGGGGGCAGGCAGGAGAGTGCTGTGTAATAACCTTGGAGTTCAGATTATTTGATGAAGTCTGATTCATTTCACATTTCACACAGTCTTCGATATAATTGTTGCTCAAGCCACCAACAAAAGTCATTTCTGCTAGGCATTGCCTTGGGTACTGGGTGTGTGTGTGGGGGCACTGACTATGTTTGATGATTGTTTCTAACCACCCCCACTTCACCTCCCCCCCCCGAAAAATGAGTGGGTATTGTATGTTCTGGGTGTGATTACACCGTGTCTGCCGGGCGGCTGGCGATGTATTTATTTTCTTAGTGTGTTGTGTTTGTGCATAGAATCTGTGGTCATTTCACACTCAGTGTCGCAGTTTTAGAGTCCTCTAAAGGTGGCTCTTAACGAACAAGACTTATGATGTTAAACCTCCTGCAGAATAATACTGAATAAGACAGAAAATATGATGGAGTGTGGAATATTCTGGGAATACTGAATAAAAGCCGAGATATCCAGCATTTGGGAAATGTTGGGCCACATACTGAAAGCGTGAAAAATATTTGTCAGATATACGAAGTGGTGGTTAGCATTTTGAAGAAGGGGATATTCTTCAGTGTACTATCATGACCATCTAGTGGCATGCATCACTTCCAGTACAGTTCAGAGTGTGAGGCAGAAAAATATATGAAGCACATCCTGCTGAGAACCAGTAAAATGTTTTGTGAGATGCTGGCAGGTATTTCACCTTAAGAATTTAAATGGAATGGATTGTGTATTGATGATGACTGAAGTGTTTTGATGATCACTTATGTGTAGGGCATCCATTATATTTGATTAATAACTTAATGTTATATATTCAGTGTAACTTAGTGGAACTGGAATCAGGCCAATTGACTGATTTTTTTTTTTCATTCCAGAATAACATATAGCATGATTTCCAGGAAGATTTATATAAAGTTTGTTATTCACATATTACATTGGATAGAACTCTATGGAGAAGGCAAAAATAAATATCTTGCTGAAATATCAAAAAGGATGGCTTATGTTCTTAAAAAAGACTGTTTTAGAAAGTTTATTGTGACTAAATAATTTTAATTGTCTAAATATAGTTATCAGCATGCATGGCACAAATTATTTATTTGTTGAAATGAATTAACCATGGCAAATACATAGAGCTCAGTGTTGTGTGTGTGTGTGTGTGTGTGTGTGTGTGTGTGTGTTTCTGAAAGACACCTCTGATACCAGAGGAAGATCTGCTAGTATTAAGAATCTGTGTGTATGATGCATATGAGTGGTGCATATGAGATATTGTGTTTCTTGACAGTTAATTGATTAAACTAGTGAGGCTGGTTTGTAACTTCAAATCCAGTTTTACGGTTCCATCTCGGAAGCATTTCTTTCTCTAATAGATGTGATTTTCAAAGAGGCCAAACACTGGGATGCCCCAGGGATGCCATAGACCTGAAAAACCCTGTGAGTCCTCTGAAACTTCAGGTCAGGAATCAGAAGTGATAGGATGTTGTCACAAATTAATTGGTTTGATGCTTCAATTAAAAACTGATTATTATCTGGCTCTGGTAGTCATTATGGTTGATTTCATTTGGTCTCTAGATATTCTGTGAAAGGACTCTAGGTGGAAATGTTTTCCTGTAGTACAAGGAGAGGTCACTATATGCAAAAAGGCTTGTCAGTTACCCATTCTCCTATTTGGTTGCAATTTACCCGTAGGCATGATGCTAGATTTTTTTTTAAAAAATCAGTTTTCTGAATTTGCATGAATATTTCCCTCTTTATCATAGCTCTCAACCTCTGGATACTTCATTTATAATTTTGATGAAGAAATATGTCACCAAGCCCCTTCCAATTATGGTTTAGGGGCTACATTGATGTTAACAACTTTAAGAACTATTCAGTCATACAAGATCATATTTCCTGAAAGAAACTCAATTGAGCTTTAAAAAGAGGTTTGATAGGGAAATAAAAGGAGATTAGGATGGACAGGTTAAATACCAAGCAGAAGGTTTACCCATCTGACTGCAGGTATGATTTCTTCCTTCAGCAACCATTTTTTAAATAATGAAAACATTTTTCTATTATTTATTTCCATCCTCCCCTTTTCTCTTTCTTCTTCCCTTCATTCCTTCTTCCCCTGCCCCTTCTTCCTATCTTTCCTTACTTTATTTTCTGTCTCTTTTGGTTAAACTATTTCCTTCAGAAGGAAATTCATGGCAATAGAAAGTTAACAGCTGTGAGTACTCCAAACACATAATCTATTCTTGTATTGTTATTTATTAAGTATCTTATTGTTTTCCATATGAACAGCTGTAACCTACTTTTGCCCACCTTATATAGTTAGTTATTTTATAATTATCAGTCCATAATGTAATTTTACATAGGAGTTACTCTTAAAGTATTGATTATTTCATTTATTTTAAAATTTTATACAAAAGAAACCCACTAGAAAATGGGGTTGATACTTTAGTGAGTGAGTCATCAGTTGCTTTTTACCTCTTACACCAGTGGTTCTCAACCTTCTGGCCCTTTAAATACAGTTCCTCATGTTGTGACCCAACCATAAAACTATTTTCGTTGCTACTTCATAACTGTAATGTTGCTACTGTTATGAATCGTAATGTAAAATTCTGATACGCAGGATGGTCTTAGGCGACCCCTGTGAAAGGGTCCTTCGACCGCCAAAGGGGTCGTGACCCTCAGCTTGAGAACCGCTGTCTTACACTGTGGATGCCTGCTGTGTCATGTTGCATCTCCATGGGCCTTGGTTTCTGGGGAGCACACAAGCATGGATAGCAGTCACTGGAGAGAGGGGGGCTGCCTCAACACAAGGTGCATTTGTGCTTTGAGTAACTTATTTCCATATAGTTACTACTCTCCATGTGTGTTATGGTCCACATAATGAAACCTGAAATGTTCACATTAAGCAAGTAGTTGAGCCACACTTGTCATTGCGGAACTGCTCAGAAATTAGTAACCCATTTTAGGAAACCTTAACTCCATCTGAGTTTTTAGCAAATGTAACTACTGTTTAAATTTCACTCAACAAATACAATTGCTAAACTGTTCTTAAAAGTCCTCAGAGAGAAAATCTAGTGTCCAAAAATCTCCCACGAGAAACTAATTCAGTACCACTGGGAGGCAGCATGAATGAGTAGGAAAAGCACTGAATTTGGTATCAGCTGTTATGACTAATGGTGGGTGTCACTTTTGAGAAGCTCTCTTATTTTTCTAAGGCTCTCTTATTTTTCTTATTTTTCTGTGTTGAATTCTGTAAAATGGGGAAATTTAATATCTACCCACTCTCTTTTTATGTTTAAAATGTGACCACACCTAGATTTAAGCTTTGGAAAAATAAAAATCTTTCAGGTTCCAACCAAGTATGTGTCTGGCATTATAACACTCGATAAAGAAGTACTTGAAATATTTTTAAAGAATACTTAAAAGACTTCCAGAACATAGATTTTTATATGCACTTGATCAGAGGAACTTTTTTCTGGAGGAGCTACTAGCAAGTATCATGGAAGTAAGATTTAAATTAATATATACCTATGTGAGA